AAGTGCCGAGCTTAACCTTGACAAAGTAGTGACGAGGCTAAAGCGTGTCACTTACACTATTACCTGTACACAATGTAAAATAATGGCAGTAAAGAAAATGCAGGAATGAATTAAAGTAGTTAATCTATGAAAATAACTCAACCTCCAAAAGAAAACCAGTAAATGCCAGAAATACCAATCCTTAGAAGATCGTATGAAAATACTGAAGCCAATATAACACGATAAGTACACATAAGCACATAAACTTTTGCGGCGCGCAAGCCGATCCCACCGTATAATACAATTCTCCCTTATTGTACCGTAATATCAACAATAGTAAATAAATATATCTTGCGGAACACAACCCGATCCCACCATATAATTAGAACCAATGTGATAATTCACCCTTATTTCACCGTATCATTCCACCCTTATATCACTTGTTGCGGTGCACAACCAAATCCCACCATATCAATATAAATTCAACTTTATTTCTCCATATTAATACACATTTATTTCACTTATTGTGACGTGCAACCCGATCCCACAATATCAATTAAAATAAATCAATCAGTACAATCAATTTAATAACGCGAATCACAAGAAACTTTATGATTTAACGAATATGGAGCTGAACTAGAAAGGAAATTTGTACCAAATTGAGGATTCACCATAATTAATATTAAATTGTAAGACAAGTCCAGTAAATAACAATTAAAGGGTGCGAGTAAGTCAATTAAGGCAAGTAGCAGTCAATCAAGGAAACATGGGAGAATCTAACATTTTTAACACTAGAAAAATTAATGGCAAGTAGCAAGTAATGACACGGAAAACATTTAATGCATGTAACAGATAAGACATGGAAGGAGATAATTAATGAAAAATGGAAAATCAAGGACGCAAGCACTTTGGCGATATATATACACTCGTCACTTCGCATATACTCCACTACACATGAATTACACATAACACATAGCTCAAGGGTTCCTATTTCCCTCAAATTAAGGTTAAACTCGACAGCCTTACTCTGCAATCAATTCAAAGTTCAACCATGGCCTTTCCTTTTGAAAAAGCCTCCAAACTAACCAAATCTAACAAATTATTGACCAAACAAATTAAAATAAGCTTTAGAAACTACTCATGAATGAAAGGGATTCAATTTAGGTTATTATTGAAAAGTCAACAAAAGTCAACCTGTTACATCTCGCGTTTTTGTACGTTAAAATTTCGTCATCATATAATCGACGTAGACTTGAGGATAAGATTATCTTAAGGTTAACGTATTTATGCTATTTATAACAAGCGATAAGCAAGTGCCATGAATGATATAAGATACATGAATTAAAGAAAATGAGTTTCGTTGAAGATTGTCGATTTGGGATAAAATACGGTCCAAGCTATGATACCTGATATTTATGGACTAGTACCATACAAGGTACCATATGACCGTAATATTATGATGTATATAGTATATTAAAAATGAGTAAAATTTTAAATAATTTGAGATAATTTCTAATTATACGTGTAATTGGTTAATTATCGGATAGCAAAATATTACCTAATTAATTATTAAAATATGAGATAAGATTAACACACCCCTCCCTCTCCCCCCCTCAAAATGTGGCAGCAAAGAAGCTAGCCAAACATATGACTAGGTAGTCATATAAGCTTAGTGGTCATCAACATGTTAAAACCCTCAAGGTTTATAAAGTTTGGTCACTTTTAAAAGATTGGTCTCTTTTAAAAGTTTAGTTCATTTTGATCAAAGAATAACAAAAGTGAATTAGGATTCACAAATACTCAAGAGCAGACGTTAAGCTCATCCGAAAAAAAAGGCTTCCAATGAAATTTTTCAAACAATTCCAGCAAGAATTATTAGAACCCTAGCAACGTAAAATTTTGCGGTTCTGAAGGAGTAAGGTACAATTTTATCCAAGAATATTATACGGATTTCTTCCTACTCCAGGTATGTTAAGGCTATCCCTTCTTTCTTTTGGCATGGTCAATACGACAAACGAAACGAGCAAATGCGCAATTTCCATAAATGATTCTATTCATAGAAATACTAGAGATGCTTATGTTCTTTATTCCCCATGTGTCATATTATTCTATCATCTGTTCATGGGTCTCAAAATACGCAAGTTGATAAAGTTTATTTCATGATATTGATCAGAGGCATAATGGTCTTATGATGTACCGAAAGATTTTATTAACGTATTTGATATGCATTTTATGCATTTATACATGCACATTGACCCATGACCAGATGGCGTTATATACACGTNCACTATGGACGAGATGATATGTCGGGATGCCCTCAGAGACTTGATGATATTATGTACATCTATACCTATGCATGACACGACATTTATACGCACGTGCATAACATAATAAATGTTTCAGAATTTATGTCATTTAGATATACAGATGGATCTCTTTATTTCATGTTTCACTGATGTCTTTTATGTACTCATTTTCATGCCTTAAATACTTAGTACATTATTCGTATTGACGCCCTATTTCCCAGGGCCTGCATTTCATGCCTGCAGGTGCAGGTAGACAAGCTGACGGTCCCCTTTCTTAGGACCCTTTATCAGCGAGAGTTGGCGTGCTCCACTTGATCTGGAGCTGCTTTTAATTTTGGTATGATATGCTTGTATATATATATATATATATATGGGTATGACGTGGCTCAGTCCCGTCTTTGTACAGTTGTATTTTTATTAGAGGTTTGTAGACAGTTATGTATAGTTGGATAGCATGTGGCTCTATCGGCTTTCAGTTTTGGGTATATACTTGTCTATAGCAGCCTTGCCAGCTCGCCCACTATATTCCACATGTATATGTACATATGCCTTTTTGGCAGGTTTCCTTCATGTATGTTATTCTCGTAATTCAGCAGACGTCATTCAGGTTCATATCTTAGACGCATGCTTAGAGGCGTTCGACAGGTAGGAATCGGGCACCCGACGCGGCCCATCGGTTTGGGTCGTGACATAACCCCCGAACCAGCTTGGTCAAAATTTGAAATTCGGATCAAAATTCGATTACCCATTCACCCCGAGCACGAATATGTGACTTGTTTCAAAATTTGACCTTAATTCGAGGTCAAAATTCTAATTTTACCAAAATTCCTACCCAATTTCTACCATGAAAATCCTAGATTTAAGGTTGAAATCTTGTGAAATATAGTGAGAAATTGAAGGAAAGTAGATTAAGGTCACTTACCAAAGAAATTAGGGAGAAAAGCTCTTGGGAAAATCGCCTCTATGGTTTTTAGGGTTGAAAATTTAAAAGAATGAACCAAAATCCTGTCTAACTCAGCTTTTGACCAGGCACAGATGTCGCAATTGCGACCTGGTTCTTACAATTGCGAACCCTGCAAATGCGAGACATACTTCAAAATTGCGAAGAAGCTCCATCTCTGCTATCACCGCATTTACAATGATTTGTTCGCAAATGCGAACTGTGACCCTTCGCAAATGCGACCTATCGATCTCAAATGCGATCCCTTGCTGCCCAGCCATTCTTCACAAATGCGAGGAAGTGGTTCACAAATGCGAACCTGACAGGAATTTTGACAGTTCGTAAATGCGAACATTGACCTCGCAAATGCGAGATCAGAGGCAGATTCTCACCAGCTATTTTCTTAAGTCCAAACCACTCCGAAGCCTATTTGAAACTTACCCGAGCCCTCGGGGCTCCAAACCAAACATACACACAAGTTCAAAACATCATAGGAACTCACTCGCGCGATCTAAACACCAAAATAACACCTAGAACTACGAACCAGACACCAAAATCAATAAAATTTCCAATGAAACTTAAGAACTTCTATTTTAACAACTGAACGTCCGAATCATGTAAAATCAACTATGCTTTGCGTCAAATTTTACAGACAAGTCATAAATACAGAAATGAACCTATACCAAGCTCCGAAACCAAAATCCGGACCTGATAGCAATAAAGTCAAACTTCGGTCAAATTTATAAATTATTTAAACTTCAAAATTTCAACAAATTGTAGTAACTCGAGCTAGGGACCTCCGAATTCGATAGCGAGCATACGCCCAAGTCCCAAATCACGATACGAACCAATCGGGACTATCAAAACACAGGTCTGGGTCTGTTTGCTAAAAACTTTGACCGAAGTCAACTCAAATAAATTTTTAAGGCACGAAATCACATTTAATAAGTTTTTCACATAAAAGGCTTCCATCAAAAGTCACGGACTGCGAATACAAATTGAGGAAGGCTAAAGGAGCTATTTGAGGTTTCGAGACACATAATTAAGGGTTAAAACTCTAGATGACCTATCGGGTTATCACAGAAGTATTCCATTTTATTAATTTAGGTGCGCACAAACGGGCCCGGATACCATAAATATAAATATATATANAAGTGGTACTTGAACTAATTAAAAATAATAATAATCAGATAAATACATATAAAATTGAATTGATGACTGATGAAATAGAGAACTTCTTTTAATGGATAAAAACATTATTGAATCGTATCCGAAGGCGGACTAAGTGAAGTGTGAATAATATTTTATTACGTAGTAACATTCACAGAGAGTTTGTAACCTTTTCCTATTTCGTTTTAAGCTATATTCTGGATAGACAGATTAGAAACAAATTCTTACTCCATCCGTTTCAATTTATGTGAACCCATTTGATTGGGCACGGAATTTAAGAAAAGAGAGAAGACTTTTGAACTTGTAGTGTAAAATGAAGCACATATATTTTGTGTGACTATAAATCATTGCATAAAAGTAAATTGTTTCCAAATAGGGAAAGAGGTCATTCTTTTTGGCACGAACTAAAAAGGAAATAGGTTCACATAAATTAAAACGGATGGATTATTTTTTTTCATTAGTCAAGACTCAATAGAAACGACCGAATTCAGTTGTCATTGGACTTTGTAGGCATATAATGTTACTTCATGTCAGTTGACAAGGAGCTTAGTGGAGTGGTTTGGTATACAATTAGGCATAAAGTTGTAGTTTTCACCTACTCCATAGTTCAAGTTATAATTTCTCGTCTTGTACGTACACGTAGATATATCGCGTGCGGAATGCTGAATATATAGTTGACGAAAACATAAAAAAGAGCGATAAATCACGGCCGGAGAGGATTTACGAGATTGATGATCTTTATGAGATTTATATTTCGATCTTTTTTCTTAGATCGTAATTTACTGATTATCTTGAAATGAGGATGGAAGAAAAAGGAGTGATTATCAGTGTTTATGTTGAATCTTTATCAACCACAGATTCACAATATAGATCTGATCCATTGAAAAGAACAGCAAGAAGAAGAGGATACGATCGTCGAGCACAACTCTTGGACTATGCTCATGAGTTAAGGCATGCCAACTCTACATACCCTCGATGTACGTCCGATAATTCAAAACAAAAGCAAAAGGTACGTAATTCATAGTCCCATTTTGGTTTATGATGAAAAGTTAGTAAATACCAAGTTTAATCGTTATGTATATGATCGATAAGCAGTAGCCAATTCAGAATTTGGGTCACTATATTATGCTTTTTATATATGTACCACTTTTTTTTTTTGGTTGAAAAATTAGCCTAAATAGATGCCCACACAATCGCTTAAACTAAAAATAGACGATGAATATAATATATATATATATATATNGGCTATTCGTGTAAGAAAAAACCCATCTTTTTCGCACAAACATACATAGTCCGAGCACGACCCTGCTATGTCTTGTCTAGATCCGCCATTTTCAAGAATTATACTATGAATAATAATTCCTACAGAAAAGGAGATGGACAAGAAGGATAGGATTGCCAATTTCCTGTTTATTTCGTCGAAAAAATAAGCAGAGGAGGTATGAACAGATGGGAAGAGAAGATTCCTGTGATGCTGAAGAGACATGCTATCAAAGAGGGTCCAAAGGAAAAAAGATGAGCGGAGCAAATGAGAAAGTCACGTCTGGTTTTTGTGTGAGTACTGCAACTATCTATTCCAATAGCAAATGGTCTTTGTTTGGCTAATTAAAACATGTAGTTCCTAATAGGTTTGTGTAACTTTGTGATGTGATGCAGACGAGATTGAAGTGTTTCCTGAAAGATATCTCATCCATCTGGCAATTTGGCAAGCACTAATCATGATCAGCTTGCTTATTTGATGGATATATTTTTTGATACTGATTTTCAATTTCCTCGTCTTTTCCATCTTTTGTGGTTTACGGTAACTTTATGCAATTGTGGAATTCCGAGAAAGTTTTTTGGCTAGTTCAAGATTAAATATGACTTGCTTAGGGACCTTAGGATGCGGTCTGGATTGTTTCTCTCTCGACTTTGCATCTAAGGGTGGTAATTTGAAGTAAAAATTGCACGAGGCGCCCTATTTGGTCACCCTCATTTAACTTATATTCATTTTTTAAAATTTTTTTTAATTAATTTGTACTTACTTTTTAAACAACTTCAGCCCCTTTCTCTTCCTCCTTCTCCATCACCATCACCAGACTAAAGAGAAAAAGGTCACTATCTTAATTATTGAATACTAGCGTCTAACTAGTGAAAGACTTGACTTCCTTCATGTTCATTGCTCAATTTTTCGCTATCTGCTTCTCTATTTTTTTGGTACCCATTCAATTAGAATGGAATTACAGAGATGTATTTGTCACAGAAATACACCCACCATCATTATCACATTTTGTTTCTTATTGCACAACAATGAGTTGGAAACCTCAATTCCAAAAATTAAATTTTTGAGCATCAATTGCAGTGTTACTAGTAAGTAAGATTGACAAAGACGACAGTGACACAGAAATGCTTCGTAACGCATGCTCATGTGTTCAACGTTGACGTCGATAATGAAAATGGTGTTGCTGCCACAAGAACAATGTACTTCAGCTCTAGAGCTGAAGTTCATTAGTTACAAAACAAAAACTTCAGCTCTAGAGCTGAAGTTTGCTTGTTATCAAAACAAAAATTTCAGCTCTAGACTTGAAGTTCGCTAGTTACAAAACAAAAACTTCAGCTCTAGAGCTGAAGTTCGCCAGTTACAAAACAAAAACTTCAGCTCTAGAGCTGAACTTCAGGCCCGTCTACTAGAATGTTGAAGTTTTGCGTGATTGCATTTGCTACTTCATCCCCGTATGCTGAAGTTATGCAAAAAAGCAGGTACGCTTGCAATTTTTTTTGCAAAGCGGACACAAGTTAAAATGTGACACAAAATGCGGGTATAGATGCAAATGTCACTAATTTGAGCCTAAACACATTCAACCCGCCCAACCCGTCCAGAGATTAATGGGTTGGGTTACAAACATTCTGACCCATGAAGTATCTCAAATACAACCTATGAAACTTACCCAAAACAAAGGGATCTCAACCCAACTTATTTAGAGATTTACTTAGTTGCCCTTCATTAATTGCCCCTCCCCACAATGTTTTTTACTATTTTTTTGTATTTTTAATTTTCTGTTTTCTGTTTTCATTTTTTGTCATTTTTCTGCCCCACCCACACATCCCACCCCCCCCGTAAAATATTTTTCAACTTACACATTTTAAGTACTAATTTGTTATTAAGAGAATATATTTTGATTCTCAAAATATTAATAGTATTTATTAACCTTTTATACATATGTGTATAAAAGGTAAAAGGCTTTATTTATGCAAGATGATCATGGTTTTAAAACATGGGTCATATTGGGAGAATTGGGCTATGACCCATTGTTTAGCTCATCTTGACCCAAATACGCTTTGAACTGCGTTGCGCAATGACCCATTTATTGACCTAACCCATTTTAACCCCCTAAATTGAACCCAACACGCCTATTTTCCTCCCATGTTTGCACCTTATCACCCAAAAAGTCTGTCTAAGACACAGAGAGGCAAGTGATGGGCACTACTCATCCATTATCTCCACAACTTTGAGTGACCCGTTCAATATGTCCCGCGGGAGAATTTAGGGAACTTAAGGGTTTGGTTGACACTAGGACAACAATCGGGGGAGAAAGATGGAAAAGGAAACAGAGTATGAAAAATCATAGTTCTTAACTTATTGAAGGATATTTCTAACGTATTGTTTCACATTTAAATTTAATTTTTGATAGATAAATATTGAGCGCGGAATCATAATTATTCTTCACTTGCAAATAGGTCATTTGATAACAGAAGGAATACCATTTTTTGTACGTTGGATATATCAGCTTGATTGTCTTTTCTTTTCTTCTTTTTCTATCTTGACATAAGACCTTTCCGATCAACTAAATCTCTTCACCTCCGCACGTGGAATTGTTTTTCTTAAAAAATGACAAACACAATTAATGTAAGTATTTTCTAATTAATAACGGATTATCAGGTGGCATAATATCTTTTTTTCTCTTGTTAGTGCCTTTTCTTTTCCTTTTAATATTTTCATCATGTAATGCATCTTGTAAATAAAATTAAAGACCAACGTTTTTTGTGGATTCTACTTTAGTTAAATGAATCGTTCTCTTTTCCTCTGCTTAGAGTATAATTAGGCTACTTTTTCCTATTGGCTTATGTAACCACCAAACATGTAGGCAAAATATATTATTGGAAAGTGGGATCCTAGACCACTAGGAAATACGTACTACTACATTGGGTACTCCTGCTATATTCAGGTTTAGGGTGTGTTTGATACAACGGAATGGCAAATAAGTAGCAATTTTATTTATTTTCGGTACGCAAATTAAGGAAAATAACTTTTCAAAAATATTATTAAATAATTTAAATATAATAAACATGAAGTCATAAACTTTCAAACCAACAACCCTCTGAACCCAAAAATTTCATAAATTTTCGAACCGCTAAACTTTCGAAACCACGGAATTTCGAACCCGTAAACTTTCAAACACATAAACTTCTGAACTTATAACTTTGGAACTTGTAAAATTTTGAACCTTTACACTGATAAATTTAAAAAATATTTTTTCGGGGGGAGAGGGGTTGAAAACCGAAAAAATAGAAATTTGAAATTATAAAAAAAAAGTAAAAAAATTTGTGC